GAGCACCCACAACTTCTGAAGGCAAGCTGTTCCATTGGTTGATTGCTCTCACCATTGGGTTGAACTAAAAGACCACCAAGGTCCCTTCCAATTCTATAATTCTGAGTAGTTTTTTTCTTCTTCTTCTCCATTTTGCTCTCTGCTAGGGTGGAAATGTTTATTCTGAAAGTGTCTTGAAATGGGAAATGCAACATTAACAGCTCCAGGATGTCTTTTAAAATCCAGACAGATTCAAACACGAATGATTCAAAATGTCTGTGTGTCTAGTTCAGCTTTCTCTTCTGGTTGTTTTCTATTTTTTTCCTGATTTTCTTGTGGGATGAGGCTGGTGAAAATGGAAGAAACACTGAAATAACATGAGAAGGTTCAAACCTGAAGAAGCTTACAACAGAGGGAAAATGACCTTTTTTTCTTTTTAAAAAAATTCCCTTCTATACAAACAGTCTACCTGCTAACTTTCATTCTTATTTAATTTTATTTCTACAGCTGTCCATCTCAAACAAGTGACACTGGGTGGTGAGCATTCAACAATTACTTGTTAGGCCGGTGCAAATCATCTCTTTTCTGATTTATTGAATCACTTCACAAAATACACACCCACGTGCACAGAGAGGTTTTCGAAATATGCAAAACAAGTGGGTTGAATGGGTTTAAAGTATCTGATTCCATCTGACGCTCCTAAGCCCTTGAATCTGGAAAACCCACATGTCTATTGGCGTGTGTGAATTTACACTAGAGACCAACCTGGACTTAGAACAGATCTGAGCAAATTGACCTCTCTGCCTCCAAAATCAAATTATGAAATTTTAAGATGATGCAGACCTTGCTCTTAGGGACCGAAAATAGTTCTATTCCCATTGCATGAACAAAAAAAAAAGTTGGCTTGGAAAATATTATTTTTTCAAGATAAAGATGTTGTACAATAGCTTAGCGATGACAAACTCAATTGGGCTGGATATCTTTATTCCTCCATGAACAGATTGTCACTATCTATTTGTCTGAATTGCCTTCTAACGCTGCGTTCCTGCAGACTAGTGGTAGCCAGTAATTTATTATTATTTTTTTAAAAAAAGAAAAAGGAACCAAAACTCTGTATAACTTCCAAAAGCTGCTTGTGTTTATTAGCTGTCAAGTTAACCCTCTTGGAATTTGAATTCAGAGTAAGCGTCGGCTTTCAAACTCAAGACTGGATGCAAAAGTTACACAAGGTCAGATCTCACCCTCTGCCGTGTCTTCCCAAATCTCAGATGTTGCCTTCGAGATCTCCACGCTCATCGGAAAGTAAATATGCTCCATTAGGTCCTCAAATTGGAACCAGATTGTCTGTCGCAGTTGGTGAGTGGCGCCCAATTTTACGAACTTTTTTTTTTTGCTGTGGTCATTAAGGGAATCGTGCAGTTGTTAAGTGAATTTGGCTTCCCCCACTGAGTTTGCTTGTGGGAAGCTGGCTAAGAAGTTGCAAATAGCAATCATGTGATGCCAAGGAGACTGAAACTGTCATAAGTACATGCCAGTTGCAAGCACTCTAATTCTGATCATGTGACCCTGGGGATGCTTTAACAGTCATAAATGTGAGGACCAGTATATAAGTCACTTTTTTCATCACCTTCATAGCTTTCAACGGTCACTAACTGGATGCTTGTCAGTTGTAAGGACATTGTCTCAAAGCAACATGCAGCTTGCAAAGTAACACCCAAAGCTTCAGGTGGTTCTGAAGTTTTTATTTCCACAAATGTCATAACACAAAATAATAAGACACTGGTTTCTTTTACCAGATAGATAACTGGTTGGGGAAAATATATTTATCAAAAGGAAAAAAACAATCACTCTGCCCATTAAAATGCTCGTGCAAGCCCTTTACAGAACATTTCTTTTTTTTTTTTTTTACAGAGGACACAGTAAAAAATACATCATTTTTCATAGAAAAAAAAGCAAATATACAAAAACTGCAGGCTTGTGCTGCCTGCAGATATGATCTATGCAGATCTATATATGCCTTAAAAGAGATAAATTTTAACGCAGGGGGGAAATTCTTTCCCTCTGTCGAGTTGTTGTGTATCTGGTGGCACCCATAAATATATTTTCGATAAACATGAAAATGCCCGTGTTTTATTCATCTCCTGTTACTTCGTCTCTCAATAGATGTTGCTTATTAGGCCTGTGTAAATCATCTCTCTCTGATTTATTGAGCCATTTCATGAAATACACATACACACATTTTGGAAAAATTCCAAACAAATGGCCCGAATCATCGGATTCCACTGGATGTTTCTAAACCCATGAATCTAGGAAAAAAATCAAGACTCACACCTCTGTTGGCTTGCGTGAATTCACACATTAGAGACCAATCTGGATGGACGACAAATCTGAGCAATCTGATCTCTTTGCCTCCATTTCAAAACTGTTCTCCAGAAGTAGAGGAATCTTGTTTGGAAATGGAAACCTAACTATGTTCTTAAGCATCTTTGATAACCAACATATCTCAAAGGTGAGCTACGTCTTAATAACTGGAGATTACCTTGCATTTGTGATCTTTCTTGGGTATCTGAGGGGTGCAGTGGTTAGGGTGATGACACTGCATAAGGGGATGTTACCTTCTCCCCCCTCCCCATTATTTCTGCATATGTTTTGCATTTAGAAGCCTACCCCACCTGATGCCTCAAGAAACATGTGATACCTCAGAAATGTGATTTCATTTCCTGACACTTTGCCAAAATTCTCAGGACCATAAAGAGAAGATCTTAATGTAGCATTTAGAGTATATCACGTCTTAGCTCTCTCTAAGCAGTTGACAGAGTCAGCATGTTGCCCCCAACAATCTGGGTCCTCATTTTACGAAAGGATGGAAGGCTGAGTCAACCTTGAGCAGGTCAGGATCGAACTGCTGGCAGTGTGAGCAGAGTTAGCCTGCAATACTGCATTCTAACCACTGCACCACCAGGGCTCTTGGTAAAACAACATGCATACACACTAACTCTCCTCTTTCACCCCTGATAAATAAGATTAAATGGAGAATGGACCATCCCAGCCAACCACTCATCTCAGTAGGAGTCCTACTTGTGACTATGGCTGATTTCTACCCCCTCACCCCCCACCCAGACACAATGGTTAAAAAAAAAAACCCCAAAAAACAAATAAGAGCAAATAAACTAGTTCCTCCTGGGTGAATTTGTGAACAGATGTAAAATTAAAAACATCTTCCTATTCTTATTTAGCACCACCTTAGCACCATAGTTGGCAAGTAACCCTTTGGGTTTTAAAAGTCAAAACAATTATGAAAGGTTGTGGGTCGGGGTACAGAAAGACTTGAAGAACTGGGAAAAGCTGCAATTATCCCTCATGGGAAGAATTGCAGTGATAAAAATGAATATTCTACCCAAGTTTCTTTTTTTGTTTCAAATGTTACCAATTTTGAAAAATGAGATTAATTTAAATGAGTGGCAGAAGGGTCTCAATAAATTTATTTGGGCAGGGAAAAAACCAAGGGTTAAGTTCAAAATTATGCAAGACTTCCGTGAGAGGGGTGGACTCAAGGTACCAAATTTGAAATTATATTATGATGCGGTGGTTTTAACATTAATTAGTGACTGGGTAAATTTGACAAATTCTGAGATACTTTATCTAGAGGGATGGGATTTACTTTATGGGTGGCATGCCTATTTAATATTTAATAAAAAAATAGATTGGGCTTTTAAAACTCATATTTTAAGAATTTCTTTACTTAGGATTTGGAGAAAATATTATAAAAGTGATTTTAAAGTACCATTATGGGCTATACCTTGGCATGCGATAGAAGGAATAAAAAGAGGGGTTAAAATGGACATGGTGTCTTATAGACAGTTACTTAAATGGGATGGACAAAACTGGCAATTAAAATCACGGGAAGAATTAGTACAAGAAAATTTTACTTATTCTTGGTTCCAATATAGGCAACTACTAGATAGATGGAAGATGGATTGCAAGGTGGGTTTTCTTAGAGAAGATGAAAATCTTATTAAGCAACTGAAGGATCAAAGACAAACCCACATTAAGAGAATTTATGGGGTTTTAGTTGAATTGGACTCAGAAACGGAACTAATTAAAGATTGTATGATTAGATGGGCGCAGAACTTTGGTGAGCCAGTTTCATTGGACACTTGGGAAACTATTTGGGTGAGAAATGTCAAATTTACTCAAGCACAGAATTTAAGGGAGAATTTTTATAAAATGTTTTATAGATGGCACCTTGATCCACAAAAAATGTCTTATATGTACCCTGACGTGCAACCTAAATGCTGGAGATGTGGTTACAAGGAGGCTTCTTATTATCATATTTGGTGGTCATGCAGAGAGATAAAAGCATTTTGGATCAAAATATGGTGGAATATCCAGAGAATTTTTAGAAGGAGGGTAAAATTCACTCCGCAATTATTTTTGTTAGGTATTGTTACAGATTGTGATACAAAGGAGGTTGTATTGATGTTAAACTTGATCACAGCCGCGAGGCTGTTAGTTGGACAATATTGGAAGAAGGAATCTTTGCCTACATTGCAGGAATGGTTTTTTAAAGTAGCTTATTGGCGGAAATGGCAAAGATTTCGGCTTTCTTAAAGCAACAAACGCAAGAGAAGTTTTTTGCTATCTGGGACAAATGGATAAAATTTATACAATTTAGATTGGGTATACAAAAATATTATATAGCCTTTTCATAAGTTTTATTTTTATATATATTATAGATATCTTTTTTATATATATAAATATAGAGTTTTTAATTTAATTTTTATTTTTTTTTTATTATTTCTTAAGCCTATATTCTGCTCTGGGAAGCTCAGGGGGGGGGAAGGGAGGGTTTTTGGGAGGGGTGTGGGGTGGGGGTTTTTTTTTTTATATGTATTGTTTAATTTTTTTTTCTCTTTTGTATATGTTGTTTTTTGTTCTGTATTGTTCTTGTTTTTTTTTGTAAAATTTATAAAACTTTTAATAAAAAAAAAAAAAAAAAAAAAAGTCAAAATCCAGCCCACTTACAGGAATCATTGAAACGTACTTTATTTGGAGGGTGTTGTGGGTGTTTTAACAGAGCCACGGGCCTCTAAAATCAAGAACTTTAAATAAATAGAAATGGCACATTGAATTTAACATTTGTCCTTTCGTATGGTGGGATCCGAGTTCAGTTTTCGAAGACCAACATTGTGTCAGATTGACAAAAGCACTTCTTTGGTTTCCAATTAAGAATGAGCTCAAGGTTTCAGAGCAAGGTCAAGTCCTTAACAAATCTAAGCCTTCAAATGTTTGGATTGAAAGAGGACAACTTCAGAATGATTTCCTTAGGAGAACATTTGAGATCTATAGGAATCCTACTGAATATCAGAAAACAGAAATTGTTCTAACAGGACTTCATAATATACATGTTGTGACCAACTTACTATATCAGGCTTCCAATCTATACAAATAAACAAGTAAAGCAAAACCTTTTTGATTTCAGCAACATAAAGATCAACTTTTGGCAACCATTTGCTTAGCTAAGCTAAAACAGCTCTGCTGAATAAAATAAGTCAGATTCATTTGTAAATAAAACAATGCTAACTAACATGCAAGGAATCAGAATGTGCCAAGACAGAGGTCCCAATGATTTAACTTGGTGACAATAAACCCCATTTTCTCAACCTCCTGCAATTGTTTGGCCAGCAAACCTATTTATCCCCTTGAAGCTTTCTTTTGAGAGAAATAACAATCTTTCCATTCTTTTGCAAAGCAGATTCTTTTCTGGAAATGCAATATCTCCTTTCCCAGTCTCCATAAAAAGAAATCTATGTTATTTGCTTTGTGTGTTCTGAATCTTGCCTATTGCCCCACATCGTTCAAGGCAGCACAAGGTGACTTGGATGTCAGGGATATTCTTGACTTTGACCCAATTTTTCAAAAATTTTAGCCTTTGGTGTGACCGAAATGCTTTCTATGTTCTCATCCAAAGAGTACTGATCAGATAAACGTTCACCTCCTGGAAGTGGTATTTTGAGAGAACCCCAATGGTCTATACTTAGGGGCAAAATTGTTCATAGGATGGGTGAGGCAAGTCAGTTTTTCAACCATCTTCTCTCCTAAACTCGAACCATCTTCCTTCTTCTGAAGGTTCAAAACATTTGGAAGTAAAACAACAATAGACCGAAAATACAACAGTGAGCAGATGCTGTTGAGATGCAGAAAGTTCCAATTCCTGCTGCCATCTTTTTTTTTTTTCTTTTCTCCAAAAGAAGATGGGTTTGGAGGGCTTCATCGTGGTCCAAGTTGGGGCAAACCTCTCTCACCCAAGGAGAAGCACACAATGCTGCAGTCTCTTTCCACAAAGAGTCCCGCCATCTTGGAAAAATTATTGCCTCACTGGAAAGATTCTGAAAGCTTTTCCTTCCCTGGGAGTCTTTAAGCTGGCGAGGAAGGATTAAAACATAAGCTCCAGTGGAAACAATGGCGAGTAAGACATAAGCACAAAAAAAATATTTTAACAACTGGACCTTGTCTGCTTTGGAGAATCTTTTCTGAGCTGCTCTCGGCAGGTATGAACAAGATAGACAATGAGCACCTTATATGGACAGTTGATTCATATCTCTGTTTCTGTTTTGGATTACAAATTTGCATTCCCAGATCTCCAGACATTCATTAGAGATAAACAATCTCTTATGTTTAGGTCATGTTTTTTTTTCTTCTACTGGGCTGGAAATGTTTGCCTTACCTTTCGGATCGGATCCCATTCCTCAAGGATCCATTGTAGATTTTCTTCTTATCAACCGGCATCACGTCTACGTAACCGCCGGAACTGTCTCCGATGGCTCCTGCATGCACAGCAGCTTTGCAGATGCTGGAATTCTGAAACATGGCAGAACAAGCCCCGTTGACACCCAATCTCCTGTCACCTCTCCATAAATCTCCTCTTACCACTTTGCTATCACTTTACAGAAGAGCAGAAGAGCAGATTAAGAGGCTCAGGCCAGATCCAGACTTAAATCTACTCATGAGTCAGCACCAGCAGTGGTCCAGCTTCCCGTGAGACCAAACTGCAGATGGTTCCCAAGCACATTTTTAAACCGTCTGGGGAGTGACGTGTCATCATTAGAAAGAAAAAACAGAACACACTTGAGAAACCTCCAAGACCAGGGAGATTTGATTTTGTGTGTGTGTGTATGTGTGTGTGCCTGTCTGTCATATTTATGATGGTTTTGTGTGTGTGTGTGGTCCATATTGAAATTCCTCACAATATCATGATAAGAGAACACAACCCTCACTGATAGATTCCTGTCCCTCAATTCTTCATAGGTAGTCTATGAGTTGCGACTAGAATGGAGCCCAACATTTCTGTTGCTAACTGAGACGTTCGTTGAGTGAGCCGTGCCCCATTTGGCGACTTCTCCTTGCCACGGTTCTCAAAGCGAATCCCTGCAGCTGTTAAGTGAGTCACACGGCTGTTAAGTGAACCCAACCTCCCCCGTTGACTTTGCTTGTCAGAAGGTCACCAAAGGGGGAATCACGTGACTCCGGGAACGCTGCAACCGTCGTAAATGCGAGTCGGTTGCCAAGCCTCCGAATGTAAATCACCTGACCACGGGGATGCTGCCACGCCCGTAAGTGTGCAAAACGGTCGCGGGTGGCTTTTTTCCCCAGTGCCTTTGTAGCCTTGAACGGTCACCAAATGAACTGTTGTAAGTCGAGCACTAACAGAGGTGTGATAAAACAGAACAACGTGACTACTAAGAAATGGAATTTTGGAAATTTAGATTTACAAAGACCCAAAGGGGGGGGTGGAAATGACCCAAAAATGCACATTCGATGCCTCGAAGCTGCCACTGCGACAGAGATCAGGGAATCTGCGCAAAGAAATAGTTCATAGAGGCATTTCTCCAGGCTTGCATATACATCATGGTTGACGTTCTCCCTCACCTCCGCCCCCTCCCAAGCCATAAAAGGTCAATTCCCTGGGTCCCATTTTTCATCTCTGTCACTGCCTCCATCTTGGCAGCTTTCTACGATTTCGCATGCCAGTTTGATTTGAGCCTTCTCTATATATGGTCAAGGAGAACAGAGTGAGCTTTTTACAGCAGCTGCGCTTCCAGTGTCTGCTAACCCTTCGTTCCGCAACCGCAGAAACTGGCTGGAGAACAACTTCCTGTCCTTAAGGAACTCAGGCAGAGTTTCCATAACACCTCATCCTCCAAATTCTGTTCTAAACTGTTGATTTCCGGGATGCTCAGCTTGCTCAGATTCAACCGTCCTGTAGCCAACACATCCATTCCATTTATTTTATTTTTGCTTGCATTCTGCGTCTGGTTTCCGGCCCGTCTTCTTCTCTGCAGCAGAAATCTCTTATCGTGGTGAGCAATTTGCAAAGTTTTGAGAAGAAGGTAAAAGAAAAGCAGAACTCGCTCATTCCATTACCAGAATTGGGTATGTCTAGTTTAATAAAAAGGAGGACTCTGGGTGACATGATCAGTGTCCCAATATCTCAGGGGCTGCCACAAAGAAGAGGGGGGTGCACCTATTCTCCAAAGCACCTGAAGGCAGGAGAAGAAGCAACAGATGGAAGCTAATCCAGGAGAGAAGCAACCTGGAACTAAGGAGAAACTTCCTGAGAGGGAGAACAAAAAAAGGGGAATTATTTTATCCCTGCTATAAAGAACTTTAAGAAAGTGGGTCAGTATTTATATGATAGCCCTGTATTCCACGAGAAACCAGGCTGAAATACCAAGGATTTGTCTTTCCTTTTTAGATTTTTTGTTTGTTTGTTTTAGTCCTCACCTGCCACCAGCCCTGTGCTGAATTGCTAAGAGCTATTTTGGATGCCCAGTGAAATTAGAGCACACAACGCTAATTTGTTGGCACTTTTCTACGACATTGATGGGAAGCAGGGACACCCAGCAGTGTGTGCTGGCTATTTTGCACATTTGTTCCATTGCAGGCATGGATGGATTGTGACTTTCATGCTTAGCCTTTCAAGAGAAACTCCTTAACCTCCTGCCTGGAAGAAGTTGGAGAGGACATTTGAAGAGGAAAGCCTTTCAGCTGCCTTGACTAACGGCCTTGTCCAATCTCAAGAGGTTCTCAAGAAGATGTGGTTTGGTTCTCCACTTTCTCTCCAAAGCCTTTTTTGTCTCCTTGCTACCTTTTTCTTCTCTTCTTTCTTTACTTGTCATTATTTTACGATATTCCTCTTGTGATACCACCACTATACCCTCATGAACCCTTTAAGGGAAAGCAAGCAGAACATATTCAAACTAGATAAGGTCTGTTGTAGAATCTGAGTGTCATGTGTGGCCATATTAAAGAAGCCATGCCATCTATCTGGAACTGAGCTCAGTTGCAAAAAATTTCAGCTCGGCCTTCTATCCTTTATATAAATATTTCTCAACCTTAGCAATTCTTAAGATGTGTGGACTTCAACTCCCAGGATTCCTCCAGCTGGAGTTGGAAGTCCACCCATCTTGGTAAGGTTGAGGCACACTCATTTATGAAAACCCCCACTCATCAAAAGAATGAGCCAGCATCCTGTTTTTTGTCAAGTAAGAAGGAGAAAAGATTACTCACATCTGCATATATGTTTGTGCCATATACTGTAGCCCAGTGGTTTGGTTCATTTTTGCAGTAAGCTGGACAGTAAGACCTGAAAGATGAGAGATGGAGATGAAGAATGATTTGATTCACTGGTTGAGGAGTTACTACAAAATAATCCAGTAGGAAATGGAAAAAGAATTTTAACTACTGGTAGGAGCACTTAGTAGAAATGCAAAGTCCTACAGAGTCTCCATCAGCTTCATCCACTGGGAGTTCTGATTATGGTTGAGGTTTTTTTTGCAGATGTTTCATTACCCAACCTAGATAGCTTCATCAATACTGGTGCTAGTGCATCATCTAGTACTGATGATGTTATCTAGTTTAGGTAATAAAATGTCTGCAAGAAAACAACCAAGAGAACACCGAGAACCTCACATTCCTCCTCCTCCTCCTCCTCCCCCTCTCCTTCTGGCACTGATGATGTTATCTAGTTCAAGTAATGAAATGTCTGCAAGAAAGCAACCAAGCTCAGAGAGGACCAAGGACCCCTGAGCTACAAATATTCTCCTCTGTTGGGGTTCTGACTGGCCAAAAGCATCTACTGAAATCAAACTGTGGGAAGTTCTACCAAACAGCCATGATGTGTTCCTGGATGGACCTATCGTAAGGCAGCACTTTCTCTTTTTTTCAATTGCCCATAGCAGCAGCTGTTAGATAGGTTGGCTTTCCAGCAGAAATTATTACTAGTCGTTTCAATGAGTCTCATCCAACAGAAATTCTGAGCAGCCCACCCCCTCAAATACACGTGACTAGAATCCACCACTTACCTTGGGCAATGAGTGGTGGGCTTCTTGAATGGACACAATTCCTCTACTGTGGTGTAACAATCCAAAGTCTGCACTGTGGAATTAAACACACAAGAGATATATGAACTTTGGGTTTTCTTTCTAACAGTGGTCAAAAGCCAAGAATACACAGGTTTCAAATTAGTAAAATTAAGAAAAAAAATAAAAGATACAATACACCAAATAAGATTTTGTAGGTTAGTGTTTATATTTCATAGAGATTCCTTCAGTATATTCAATGCGTTTCGTATATATTCATTCAAATATGTGTATAATGTATGGATGTCTTTACAAAAAATGAGCTATAATTTAGACAAGGACAGTGCTAATCTTTACACAACCTTTTCTTACATCTTCTTTCCAGTACAGCTGTCAGTAAATGCATTCAAGTGTGCTAATGTCTTAGCCTGCGCTTGTATCGCATCGCACAGCATTCAAGAAATAACTTGAGGTCTAAGTCAATTGATCTGTAACACTAGGCAACCTAGATACATTTCAAAACTGACCAAATTCTCTGTTGTGGAAAATTAGAAATTAGAAAATTAAATTAAATCCTGCCATCTAAGGTAGGTTAGAAGGCAGGGGAAGAATTAAGGGATTTTCAGAGAAGGCATTAACCAGTAGATCCTGTAAGGGTGCTGAGTATGGATACCATCTCCACTTCAAACAATTTTGCACTGCAGAGACATCTCAAGATGTTTCTTTTGCTTTATCTTGAATCCTGGAGATCTGCCAAAATTACAGGAAAGTGGCGGAGGAGGAATTGTTTAAATCAAGAGCTGTTTGAAGTAGCCTCATTTGTCATATAAAACTGCAGGGTTCCTCCTGGCTGAATTTAAGCCAACTCCAAACTTGATGGCTCTTGATGGCACAACTTCTGAAACATCTTGCTTTTTATTCTAATGCCTTTGTTCGGACAAACAGAAGCCTGGTCCCAACGCAAAAGGAAGCTGTGCTGTGTTTTGCCTGGATCAAAACCATAACTGGGTGGAAAATCGTTGCATTTGGGGAATAACATCAACTATTTTTTTCTTTTCTGGGAGACTTCTTGCTTGATATTTCTTGCTGTTCTTAGGACCTTCCTGGGCTTGTCAAAACAAACATCTCAACGTAGAAGGGAAAGAAGACAAACCAAGAGGAAGAGATGGCTTGACTTCAAAATAAATTAATCATTAAGCTGCCTGGTGTGTTGCTTTTATCACGACTAGCCTTTCCTAACATGTAATTATTTAGCGGATCGTTTGAATGTACAAAACCCTAGGCCTGTGTGGGAATGCCACGGAGGGATTTGCTTCAGCAAAGGTTCCCATGAAGCTTTCTCTTAAACCAAAAATATTTTTCCATCTAGGGATGCGGAGGACTTTTTTGGATTACAGAAACTTCTCTTTCCCCCCACCCCGTTCCTTTCCCTCTTTTCCCTTTTCTTTTTTCATTAGAGGTGTGCAAAACGTCTTGAGATAAAGCTATCACGAAGCTCTTCCAAAAGGTATGTTTTCAAGAGGCAACTGGACTTCCTTTGTTTTTCTTGAAGGTGTTTCACTTCTCGACTGAAGAAGCTTCTAGGACAGTGGTTCTCAACCTTTTTAATGCCACGACCCCCAACCGATCGTAAGTCGAGGACTAAACCGGTTGTAAGTCGAGGACTAAACCGGTCGTAAGTCGAGGACTACCCAACCGGTCGTAAGTCGAGGACTTTCCCTGCCCAGGAGCACCGCGCATGCATGGTGCCACCCCCTGTGCCGGCCAAGGCATAGCTGGCAAGTGGCAGAGACGGAGCAGGCCGACCACTGACTGGGCCACTAGCTGGCCCAGCCCAAGGGACGTAAGGCACCCGCCGGGAAAGGGGAAAAAAATGGCGGACAGCCTTGCTTGGCGACCCCCGTGAAATGGTCGATCGACCCCAAATGGGGTCGCGACCCATAGATTGAGAACCGCTGTGCTAGGACGAGAAGCAAAACGTCTCCAAGAAAAACAAGGAAAGTCCAGTTTCCCCTTGAAAAAGCACCTTTGGGACAATCTTAACCTGGATATCTGAGACTCTCCATGGACTAATACAAGCTCAGAAAAGTCAGTACAAGAATTCTGAATGCAGGAAAATGGTCCATCCCAGAACCTGGTGACTCCATATGTATTGTCCACATATGTGCTCAATCCTTTTGGCTATTGTGACTTCAGCATGGACTAAATTATTTCAGTGGCTATAAAGAAAAGGAGTGACTGGTTCTAATTTTATTTATTTCTTGCAGTTGAACATGTCAAACAAATCCCATTGAGAGGTAACCAACTCAAGCAAAAACCTTACTATTCTTCTACATATCCCTTCCTTTCATTATCTTAACCCTTCTATTTTCTCTCTGTTTTCTTTTTCTCTCTCTCTTTCTCTCTTTCTTCCATTATCTTCTTACTTCTGTCTCCTCATTTGACTGACTAAGAACAAGATTTAATCCACGGGGATTCTGAAGGAATTCACACCGATTCTTTCTTCTCAACGAAGATAAAACTTACCTGTAACCTTCAACACAGCAAAACCGTTGGAAGGCTTGTGTTTGCTGGCAAAGGAAAGGAAAAAAAGGTATGAATTCAATGTTTAAGAGGGCATTCCAAAAATCCAGTTTCTAGATAACATTACAAGAGATAGACTAGCAATGTCTACCAATTAAGCAGGAATTCAACTCTTATAATTCATTGGCAAGCAGAATCAAAGATGCAGCAATATGGTGAGACATTTGATGTGGCTAGAATTGTTTTGCACATAGGAAATTGAATTACCTGAGTGTACGAATGCCGTTTCTTAGAGACATTACGAAGAAATCTGATCTTCCTTTCCTAGTAATATCTACTAAGCCTCCTCTATTATCTAATACTCCAGAATGAATAGCTGCTCGACATATACTGGAAGCCTGTAAGGAAGAAACAAACCACAATTGTACAAGGCTGTGTGCAAGCCATGATTTTTTTAAAAAAAATAATGAAACAGTACCCATTTTTGGACATTTTAGGTGTGTATGTTTTTTAGCCATTGTGTAAAAGGCCTGTAATGTCACCCAAGGAGAAAGCTTGACACAACAAATAATCAAATGTAGAGGACATAAAGTTATGGATGATTTATCCAATGATATTCCCCAATTTTTGAGATACCCATACAGATCTTAGTAATGTACTGATGCTTTAGCTTTGGGACGGTAATTATAATTTTCAGTTATTTTTCCATAGCTTATAGGGTGGACTGGAAGGATTGTAAATGTTACATAGTTCTAAATGTTTGTTTTTTTATCAGTCAATCACCAAGGCAAAGTTTTGGACTTTGAAAATCAATAACCCTGAAATATGTTTTTTGTTTTAAAAAAAACTTACACTTTCGTAGTTGGGGAATCCAAATACTTTTGCTTTACTGTTCAAGCAGCCAGCTGGACACAGATATCTAGCCAAAAAAAAAAAAAAGGGGGGGGGGAAATCATTAAGGAATTTTGGAAGCTGCCTTCTGAACTCATACTGTTGGTCAAGTGCAAACATTCTCCACCTGGTGCTTGCCAGATGTCATGGATCTTAGAGTCACTTCAAAGGCCAGACTGAGGAGGATATACTGGGGTAGATTTTATTAGCTCTTCCTTTAAGCGTTCTCAGCTAATATTTGAACTGGATTTGGTTCGTTAAACTGCACTGTAATTAAAAGCATTACGTAGAGGAAGGATGGATGATCCATCCGAGAGAGATAAACATCTGTCAGAGGAGAATGGTGGAAGATTGATGCCAAAATAAGGATGGGTATCCCAAAGGTACTTTTTTTCCAAAGGCAACTGAACTTTCTTTGTTTTTCCTTGAAGATGTTTCTCTTCTCATCCCAGAAGCTTCTTCAGTTCTGACTGAACGGTGGAGAATGGAAAGATCTACATTCCTTGCATTCACCTCCCTTCCATTCACCACCATTCAGGCAGAACTGAAGAAGCTTCTTGGATGACAAGAGAAACATCTTCAAGCAAAACAAAGAAAGTCCAATTGCCCTTGAGGAAAAAAGCACCTTTGGGATGACCATGATCTGGATGACTGAGAATCCCCATAGACATAAGGATGGGTGTATAGAATGGATAATGAATCATTTCTAAGTCCTTAGTGGGTATAGACTGAAGTGCCTCTTTTTCTTCAGGAGTTGGAGCTTACATAAGAAAAGACTCAAATGGACCATTTCTACATGATTATTGGATTTATAGGATATCCGAGGGAACGTTGTATTTGAAGACTGCCACAGGTCAAAGAGTAAAAAGAAAGAAAATAAATCTGTGGTACCTGTTACATGTGGATCCTCGGCATGTATCCCTCATTTTGGTGTCGCACTTGATCACCTGGGCTAGAATAATGGGAAAATACACAACGGTGAGGAAAGTATTGTAAGAAAAGGAACTACCGGCAGCCCTTAACTAAGATTGTACAGAAAAAAAAAAAATCTGACTTAGGAAAAATAAGGTCTTCCTTGCTTTGAAAGTTTCCAGGTTGGCATCAAATCCATCCAGATGAATTTCTGGAATCTTCTACATCATGCGTTACACTCGTAAACTGAGTTGGCCTATCAATTTATCTAGCCCATGTTTATCACCTCAGCAACTTTAAGATGGGTAGACGTCAGCTCTCAGAATGGGCTGGGGAATTCTGGGAGTTGAAGTCCACCCATCTTAAAGTTGCTGAATTTAAGATACACTGATCTCTAAGGCATCCATTTTAACCCCAGAAATCCCCAAGCCAGTTTTTACCTAATACTCCAATGCTTGCTGCATTTTCTCCTATTTAGCCAAGCAGCAAGTATTCCTGAATAATCTTCTGCAAAATCCCAAATGCTGGAAGATACAAATACTTTCTTACTCATGTAGGTCACCTCCGCGGGTTTCTTTTCCTTTGCAGGTTTTACAGATTTGGGCTGTATTCTGTCAGGAACCTTTTGTATCTCCACTTCATTTGCCCGATCCGTCTCAGGTTTTTCGACTACTTTTTCTTTGGTTAGAGAGTGAAAAAGAGTCACGTGTTACTCTACAAGGCCATTAGCAAAGAAGACAGATACTAGGAGATGAGAATCGTTCTTGTTTTTTTCGTTCAAGGAGATTCACCCACTTCCCCCCCCCCCAAATTCATTTATAGTTGGAACCTGCTCACCCCAAATAAATGAGTGTGAAATCAAGGCATCCATGGGGGCAGAGAAGGGAGGAAGATGTATCAAACAATGCCAAGATGGCACTGGGCTCATTAGGTTGCAACTGCCATCTTGAGTTTTTAGTCATCTATGGATACCTTAGACCAGAGGTCCCCAACCCCTGGTCTGTGAACCAGTGCCAGGCCACGGCATGCCAGCAACCAGTCTGCACAAACAAGCAAAGCCCCATCCATGGGATGCAGGCAGCACACAAAACCACGCACTCTCTGGTCTGTGGAAAAACGTGTCTCCATGGAATCGGTCCCTGGTGCCCAAAAGGCTGGGGACCTCTGCCTTAGACAAATTGGGCAACGTACAGTTTGGGTTTTCAGGATTCTAAAAACTGAATGGAATTGTGGAGAATTGGCCTGGTGGGCCTATCTAGTCCAGCATTTGAGCAGGAGATTTACATTACGCTAACGTGAGTCTGAAGAGATGAAACGGCTTTCTAACAGAATATGCCACCCAAATTTATACTGGAGCCAATTGTTCCTTTCCTATCTCAACAACTTTCTTCCCTGTAAAAGAGGCTCTAGATCTTCTGCCTGCTTTCAGTGTGCTGCATTATTTCTCGGGAATTTCTCCTGAAGTTGCATTGGGCTTCCTTGATTGCTCAAAGAAGCAGAAAATGGCACTCCAGATTTTTGCTGTGAGATATATATTTCCATCAATTTGCAATCAACTTAGATGCCACATCCTACGTAGTCTGGAAAACTTCAGAAAAGGAGCTTCCTATTCTATCCTCCTGTGACCATTAATACAAGCCAGAGAAGCTGCAAACTCTTGGACAAAAGAGCAAACCACAAAAATCGGGAACACTTTTCTTCATGGCAGTCTCCTTCAGGTAGTCCATCTATACAACTAGGTAGCTTAAGCAGGGATGTCCCCAGAATCCAACCATTTGCTCAGAATGACTCAACCGGCATGGCATAAGGTACACACCCATGAAAGGTTGCAACCCATCTCAAAAAAGCAGAGCTTGTCTCCCTGGGATGGGATACTCTGCCCCACTTGTGAAGAGGACAACTTTGAACAAAGCCACGGTCAGTGTTTGCTCCATTATTAGATCACATACCTTTATAACAGAGGTTAGCCCGGCATCCTCCTCCATAGCTTGGTGGGCATTGAGAACACGATCTGCCATTTTTATATGGGGCTTCTCCAATCCAGTTGCCTCTGAAAAGTCCACCCAGAATGTTCCTTGTTAACTTCTTTCATCCTGTGTTAGGCTCACAACATACAAAATCAACTCTGGGGACCGTTTCAGGCCTGGTGCCTGACTTGTTATGTTCTCAAGACCTCTAACCCATGAGAAAATTAATATTATCACTGTGGCTATGCTTTGGGAACATTCTGCCTCAAATGAATAGGTCAGGGGCATTCTAATGAGAACTTTGACAGATGAAAGCACCAAAGTTATGCCTCAGAACCAACCAGGCATCAGCTCTCACATGGGTTCCACAAAACCATTATTCAAGGCTGCCCCGATTTCTTTCTCCCAAATCCCTTCAGGTGGGTAGGAAACCCATCTGAACGCTCAAAGGCCTTTTTCTGCCCACGTCTTCCAGCTGAGAGCAATTCCCATGTGTCTTCCAAGAGATGAATAAACATTAGCTCTTCTGCGTGACTGAGAAACTTTGGCAGCATCTGGGAACATTAGCTTCACGTAGTACTTGCCACGTGCTAAATTCTCATCTTTAATGAGCAGAAGTCATCTGACATTTCATTTGTTTTCTCGAGTTTGAAAGGAACTTTGTCCCAGACCCATCAGGGACCTGTCTGTTGCCCAAACATCCCAACCAGAAAAAGCCATTTTGATTACAAACATTCAAAACACAGGGGTTAAGCAAAGCTTAAAATCCACTGACGTGAGGAGTGTCTTGTCCCATTGGAGTTTCTTTAATTGGTCGTGACGTTCTAATACTTTGGACACATCCCATGAACTAAGTTTTAAAGTTGGGGACACCCAACATGTGAAGCTCGGCTAAAATGGGGATAGGCAATTTGTGGTGCAATCTGTCGTGGGAACTTAATGTCTTAACACAGAGGCCCCCAACCTTTTGGGCAGCAGGACCAGTTCCACGGAGAGAGGTTTTTCCATGGACTGGACGGGGGTGGTTTTATGTGCTACCTGCATCCTATGGATGAGCCTTTGCTTGTTTGCATGGCCTAGTTTCTGGCATGCCACAGACCAGTGCTGGGAACCACTGTCTTAACATGTCACATGAACATCTTAAGCTACCACATCATGGTATCTTGGCTTGGGTTTGCATATTATGGAACACAACAGTTGTGTTGGGGCAATCAAGAAGAGGTCCAGGTTGACTCATCTGGCCACACTATAGACACAAAATCATAGGGGCTGTTCTCCTGCCCTCCCGTAGTCTTACTTGGGAGAATAGTTGCAGACCAAATACACTGCATTTTCCCACACTTCGCCCCATACGTCCATCCTCTTGCAGACATTAATTGCACAGCCAATTTTGTTGGTTGTAGCCCAGACCATCTGGAAAAAAACACACGGAGCAAATCAGTCGAGACAAGTTACCCTCTTGTGCTTCAGCATATTTTCATAGCCCTAATCGCCTGAGTGGAGAGCTTGTGGAGAGAAAAACCATCAATTCTTAAGACTCCCTTTCAGCTGCTATTGGCCTTACCTGTGTGTAATGTGTGCACATGGGTCCTGCACATCTGTCGGGACACCAAGGGCTGCATTCATGGGGATACGGGTAGGTATAATCTTTTACTTCATCGTACCAAGACTGGACGTGGAAACCTGGAGAACGATGCCTAAAAAAAAAAAAGGCAAGAGCTTGTAGTGTAAGGAAGAAGACCATCAGCCAATTAAGACAGCTCTTCACACAGGGTGCCTTGCCAGCTACAAACAAATATGTTTCTGTATAAATGAGCATTTGTGTGTATGTGTGTATGTGTATATGTGTGTGTGTGTGCGCGCGCGTGCATGCACCCAGATGCATTATGTTTGAACATCAAGATGAATGTGGAAGATAAAAATGGACTGAAAACAGGTATTGAAACCAAGCCAAACATTCAGTTAAGACCCGCTGCCAGCCAATTCTTTCCCTTAGGAACTAGCAAAGATACACAACTGTATAAAGACGCATAGTTTCTTACTCTGATTATAGCGGCAGGCTGAAATGTTCAACCAGGATTATGTCAAGCACATCGCACTGGTCAAACATAGATATCATCCCAAGATTTGTAGCTTTCCGGAGCCTGCAGTCTTACCTTCCCCAGTGAACAGCCAAATTCTGGCCGATGGATGGGAGGAGGCTGGCAGGTCCATGGTCCCAGATGCATTGGTGAGCCCAAGATTCAGCCGATCTCTCCAGTTCTTCATCCCATCTCTAAGGAAGACACCGGGGGAGAAACACTAGGTCAACATATCTAAGGCCAGCATCTCAGATGCGTGGACTTCAACTCCCAGAATTCTCCAGCCAGCCCATGCTGGCTGGGGGATTTTTGAGGGTTGAAGTCCCCACATTTTAAAGTTGCCAAGGTTGAGAGACATTGCTCCACCATATACATAAAATTAGTCATGAAACATTCAACTCCATGTTTAGCAGGGTGTTAAATTTAAATCCAGGCCTTGCTGGATCAAAGTTGTTGACTTGTTTCTTGGCAGACTTTGAACTGAACATGGCTTTTCTTATCCAGAGCATGCCATTGAGAGATGTTCTCGCACATTCTTTAAATTAGCTGAAATTCCGAATGGAAAGAGCATCAAACCATGGTTCCTGGTTTTACAGCTTTCAAAGGAATGGAGAACTCCCACCACTTTGAAAAAGAAAGGACTTGAAACCTTCTGCATTCTGAAGCGGTAGGCTGGGATTTCTAAGCTCTACTAGATAGATATGAATGCACTTATTTTATTTATTCGTTAGTTGATGAGGCTCGTATTCTGCTCCAATTGCTGACAACTTTTATGAAGGAGGGATTATGAACCAGCCGCAGGAGAGTCTACATACAGCTGGTTTTTCAGCTAAATCTTTGGGAGTTCTTTCTATGTTCTGTAGGATCTCCAGCAGAAGGAAAAGAAAACCACACACATGAGGTCAGGGAACCGAGCAAAGCCAAACACGAAGAACTAGCTAGGCGGGATAAGTAAATAGACACTAACCTGAAGAGTCTTTGGCTGTAGAGCAGAGCTGGAGAGGTCACAAATGCCAAGAAAAATACATTTTTTGGGCCTCCACAGTCCTATTGACTTACCCAAAAAGCAGTGAGATTGTTCCTGCTCTTACAAAAGGTGGATCAAAAAGCAGTGAGATTGTTCCTGCTCTTACAAAAGGTGGATCAAAAAGCAGTGAGATTGTTCCTGCTCTTACAAAAGGTGGATCAAAAAGCAGTGAGATTGTTCCTGCTCTTACAAAAGGTGCCCAGGAGGGAAATGGGTGCTGTCAGCCTACACAGAGGATGTGAGAGTAGGGGTGGTTTGGACATTCCTGTCCCACAAGATGCGCACGCCAACACAAGAACATTCACTTTGCTCCCCTTTTCTCCCTATTATCGGAAGGCTGAGTGAGGAAGTTGCATCTTCCTGGACAATAACCCTAGCTCATCAAGATTTATGTCATAACTGATCAAAAAATAATCCAGGAATCCCCAACAATTAAGAACCGTCAACCCAATGTTAAGATGTATTGGACTGCAAAAAAAGAACAGTGTTGCTCTGAATTGGCTTTGAATACTGTTTGTATTGTATTGTAAAGCCAATTCAGAGTAACACTATTCTTTTTTTTGGCCTCACTGTGAATGAGCAAACTTGTTCCTTTTGTAAATAAATCTGAAAAGGGAGTGCTTTTGCCATAACAGTGAAAGCATCTAAACCCAACCCTGATTTGAACCCAGTTAGCAATACCCAGAGCACTTAGACTTATATACCACTTCACATTGCTTCACACCCTCTCTAAGCAGTTTACAGAGCCAGCATATTGTCCCCAACAATCTGGGTCCTCATTTTACCAACCTCGGAAGGATGGAATGATGGGTCAACCTTGCCTAAATTCATTCAAGATCTTATAACCCAATGGCAGAAAACCAACTTCACTTCTTTGGTTCAGCCCTCAGATAGCTATAAAGTTCCTTGCTTAAGACTTCAAATTACTCGAATAATTGGATCCAATAGTATGACTCAGAGCAAGCCATATATCAATGCAGGCGGGTATAATCAATCTTAGCTTTGTGGGATCCCTCCTTTATATTTAGAATGGATCTGGTATCTTGTACAGGCAAAGAAAACATTCTGTTCTTTCCTTATACACACACACACACACACACACACACACACACACACACGTTTGGTTGCAAGCTCACACAGAATGGACATTTCGCTTTGCATGAAATCATCTTTAATTCATATTTATTGGCGTCTGGAGAAGTGGGCCTGCGTCAAAAGAATGTTCCATCAAAAGCCTTTGCGTGGTCACATAAACATGTGAAAATCTTTGTTTTTCTAAAACACACACACACACAAACGTCTGAGAAAGACGTTCCTGCATTCTTCTCTTGCTGACAAACCCAAAATGATAAATAGCAAATGACTGGGAATATTATTTTGAAGCTAGAAATGTGATTTCTCTCTCTCTCTCTCTCTCTCTCTCTCTCTCTCTCTCTCTCTCTCTCTCGTCTATAGATTTTTAACTTGCTATTTGTAAAGAAAGGAGCTCTTTTTATAGTAAGATGTTCTCCATAACTTTGCCATTTTTCTATTCCCAATTCTCACAAGGGAAGCATGAGACAGTGGGGTCAACATCATCTCACAGGGTCCCCTGGTTAAATGGGCAAGGATGAAGAAATGAAAAATAGAAACATCTGCTGTAGAAGCCGTGCTTCTCAACCTCAGCAATTTTAAGATGTGTGAACTTCAGCTCCCAGAATGCAGTAAGGAATAAAATGTAGACATCATGGTTCGTAAGCCTAGAAGGAGCCATTTTTGGACTGACCCCCTTCAACAGATGGTTCCTTTCTAGTCGAAATGACTCAAGAAACTACAATCTCAGCTGGCCTTTGAAAAGGCTTAGAAGGAAGATTTCTTGCTCTGGAATTTGCAATGAGTAAGTGTCCTCAAATGAAAGCAGAACAAGGTTAACCACTAGGCATTGTTGAAAGATGGAATGGCACACCGTGATTCACAAGCATCTGTTCTTGTGAATTCTCTACTTCTCACAGATAGAAGGACCCAGAATACTGTATGGGGGTCCCAAAAGAGTTACTACCCAGAAAATTTCTGATCATGTAAGAGAATTGCATGTGTCTGTCTGTTTATCATCTGTCTGTCTGTCTGTCTATCATCTATAATCTTTTTATCTATATCTCTCTGTCATCTAGCATCTATATCTATCTGCTGTCTGTGTGCTGTCTTTCTGTCTATTTTCTAACTATCTGATTTATTATACTCTTAGCTGTTGAGGTGTTCTGTTAGTTTACAATAAAATCAAACAAAACCCAGAGACATTAAAACCAATTAGAAAGAATGATTAGAAAGAATAAAAATCTATGATTAAGGCTTGGGTGCTCTCATCCCCAATTCAGCCTGCTAACTTCATCTGTGTTTGTTTGTTTCTGGTTCCGTCCGATTTTACCAAAATGCCGCACAGAATAACTGAATCACCAATTGGCTGTGGTTTTATGCCTATTCAGGACTTCAACTCACCATGTATTCCATGTTGGATGCTGAAGGGTAGACTTCACCTCTCAATTTATTATGAAGCATTAGGATTTCGTCTTGGTCATTTCTGGAAATTGATCTCTTGGCCCTTGAGTGTGGTTGCCCATCTTGGTATTGATTAAGGATGCTTTCCAAATGGGTGGCATTGGGCAAGAAGAAACACTGGATGCCATGAGTCAGGAAGAGGAAGAGAGATGGTGCTGTGAGCCAAGGAACGGTAGGATTCTTAGCCATTTTCTACTTGGCGGAAATGAGATGTGTGCAACTCTTCCAAGGGAACACTTCTGCAGTATTCTATAGACCTATAATACAAGAAGAAAAATGGGAAAATGTGATTATTTTGAATCCTAAAATGAGCAAGCTTTTCAACCTATGAATGCTGTTCCTTCAAGTTGTTTCCTGTTCTCTACTCACTGAAACAAAAAGCTTACATCAGGGGTCTTCAAACTTGGCAATTTTAAGCTAGCCCTGGCTGGCTGAGGAATTCTGGAGGTTGAAGTCCACAAGTCTTAAAGTTGCCAAGTTTGAAGACCCCTGTCTTAGAGTACTGTATCTCAGGGAGATTAGTCTGTAGCTCTATGTCTCTGGGCCAGTAAGAGGGGAGATGGTTAGAAGATTCATTCTTGAACAAATATGAAACATTAACCTTCATAATATATTTCACAGGCGAGAGGGAAAGAAATACTGTACAGAGCTTCCCAAACCACGGTAAATTACTCCAAATTGGATAAAAGTAGTTTTTCTTTGGTTAGCAACAAACCAACCCAATTTCGACAGGGACAGTTAAATTGATACAAAAGGGATTTATCTACATCCGGTAAAAAGGACTTTCTGATAAGCGATTTGGGGTAATGAAGAAAAAAGTTTGGGAAGCCTTGGTCTAAGAGTCCAGCCCAAAAGGAAGAGGACAAGTTAGGTCTACACTCTGTTTAAGATCTTGAATAATCTTAGTCTCAAACTTGCTGGTTTGCAAGCAACCACCTATTGGAGAATGAGCTTGCTAAACACTAAGATGTCCCCAGAATTCTGATTAATGGCACATTGGACCTTCCCAAATAGAAGTTAGAAGACGTCAACTATGAGTTGTAAGCTGGGTCTTGCTGTAAGCAAAGGAGAACAGAGGTCTTGCCAGCTCCCTGGAATCTCTGGCTGCACACACAGAACGTCACCAGAAATTTCAGAACTGGTGAGAGTCCCATCCGAACAGGTTGCGTCCCAGCTCTCTGCACAAGTTTATTTATAGGCTCCTTTGTTGAGGAAAAGAAATTCTTGCTTTCTGGGCTGAAGTGAAGTTGCAGCCTCTTTCCTCCTATCTTGTACCTCCAGAAAGAGCAGAACAGTCTCCCAGCCCGTTCATGGTCCTCCAACTGTTTGACACGCCAATCCTCATCATGAAGGTGATGGGAATTGAGGCTCCATTTGTCCCCAGTGCAATGGGTGGAACTCATGGGAAATCAGTGGAGGTAGCACAGAAGTTCTAGCTCAAACAAGCATCTTCAACGCATTCATCCTAGCTCTATTCTTGGAGAGGGCTCTACAGTTTTCAGCCCCAATTCATTCAGCATCCAAAGCTGTCTCTGATTTCTCCAGTGCTTTTCTTCCTCTTCTTGAGATTGTTCCTGACATTAGACATTTTGGGGATGGCATTTCTGAGCTAATAATATTTTTGAGATATGGTCTAGATTTCTGATTGGGTTTGGTGTCAGACCCATCACTCTTCAAGAATCAAGCACTAACGACTCTACAATTCAACCCTGAAGTACCAATATTTCCTTCTCTTGGTACCTTGATCGTCATCATTCTGCAGTAGGCACAGGTGACACCAAGGGGCAGGGCTCCATTTTACATAGTCATGGCCCTCATCTTAGGTTTTTTGTTTTCTTTTTTTACAAAGATTCCCTGCCTGCTTTCATTCCCCTCTCCCCCCCCCCAGCCATGAATGCCTCTGCATGTCCTACTTGGAAAAGAGCTCTTGGGCATAATTGCATCCTCTTTTAATGAAAGCACAGTCAGTCACTTGGAACGTGGGTGTGGAGGAATATTTTCTAAATCAAGACATGATCAGTCAAGGAAGATGCAGGAGAATGCCAGGAGAATGCGGTCTGGAAGACCAGACACTCAGATTCTCCTCTCAGTGGCCACTTTCCAGTTAGCATCAGAGACAAACTCCCATGTAGCATTGATGTGCAGTTCATTGAACATTCTTAGTATTTTCCATCAAGTTGAGTGAGCTGTGTGAAAATAGTTGTGAAAGAGTTTGCAGCATAGTGTTAATCTCTGTGTCAGTGTCCAAGATAGGAGAAAGCGCTACCAAGGATGATAGAAACCACATTCAACAGAGAAGGTCAACCAATGTATGATCTCATGGAAGGGACTTCCTTTCAGAGCCATGATTCCCAACCTTTTTAATGCCGCGACCCCCCAACTGGTCGTAAGTTGAGGACTACTCAACCGGTCGTAAGTTGAGGACTACTCAACTGGTGCAGCACCGTTTGCAGAATGGGGCTTTTGGCAGGCTCAGCAGGGCAGAGACAGCCTGGACAATTCCTATTGGCTTTTGAAAGCCAATAGAATTAGACTCTATTCAAGAGAGTCTATTCTATTGGCTTTCAAAAGCCAATAGAATAAAAGGGAGTAGCACAGCTAAGGAAAAGGGGGAAAAATGGTGGACTGTGTTGTTTGGCGACCCCCATGAAATGGTCGTTCGACCCCAAATGGGGTCCCGACCCACAGGTTGAGAACCACTGCTTTAGAGCCATGATTCCCAATCTTGGCAACATTAAAAAGTGTGGACCTCAAGTCCCAGAATTCCCCAGCCAGTCAGGCTTTAGAGCAGAAATGTCCAACCTTGGCCACTTTTAAGACTTGTGGACCTCAAGTCCCAGAATTCCCCAGCCAGCCAACGATCAAGGTTAGACACCCCTGCTTTAGGGAAAGATGGCACTGTTCGTGTTTATAAGAAAATTTCAGTTAGATTTTGGTGAAGACTCATAAATCATATTGTGAAAGACGCCCCAGCTTCTTTATTGAATCTTCTTGCTGTTTCCTGAACAGAGAATTCAACTTACTTCTACTCCGCAGCAATTAAATGTCTCCCCCACCCCCACGGGCTAAGAATATTTTGAATATGAAGCTAGTTTTGTTTTAAATCTGAGCCTTTCCCGACTGGCTGGCTAGGATCAAGGCTGGCATTTTTGTACATTCAAAGCAAACATTCGCAAGAAACATTTCGTACTCAGCAACGTATTTAAAACAGCAGGAGTTTAAAAAAAGAAAAAAGAAAGTGGAATATTCCTCCGCCCCCCCCCACCCCACTTCCAAGCCTTTAAAACTCTTTAAAACTGGTTCCCTTCAAGGGCCTCCTGCCTTCTACACGCTGTGTGGCAACTTTCAGCGTCTTTCCCACTGATTGTCTCCAAAATCCAAACGCTAAAGATAAATTTAGCCAGCTGACATTTGATCTTCCCCCAAATTATCCAGCCTAGTTCCTGGGGGCAAATACTGTCGTAACCTCTTTTTTTTTTAAATAGTTCTATTATTCCTCCCTCCCTTGCCCCCTCCCTAGTTCCACCCTCTCTCTTTCTCTCTCTCTCTTTCTTGTTCTCTCCTCCTCTTGATCTGTTCAACCCTTCCCACCCGCTCAGCTCCTACCCAGCAAGAGGCAAATTTGCTGCGGCTAACCTCAAGCAGCTCCGTTGGTAGACAGTCTGACCCACTTTGGGGAACAATTCTGACTTTCAGAGTTAAGGGGCTTATAAATAGGTGCTCTTCTGCCAGGCACCCACAAGGCTGCCTTGTAGGCCTAATCTGCTCGCAAAGGTCTGCTTTTACAGAGTTTACACAAACCTACACAATATATATCTGTATATGTATGTATACATAGATACATGCTCTATAAATACACTTTATGCACACACAAATGCAGAAACACACACACACACATATAAGCACACATTATATATTCGTTTTCTGAGGTTTTCGCGGGTGTTTGTATGTAGGTCTTTGGTTATTCGGGTTTTCTCCCGCGTAAAATTGGAAGTGTCTTGGCAACATTTCGACGTTTGCTTCTAGGAGCACGAAGCTGAAAGCACCAGCCTGAAGATGACGAATGGGACTTCGTCGAAACGTCGCCAAGACACTTCCAATTTTACGCGGGAGAAAACCGAATAACCAAAGACCTACATACATTATATACACACACATATATATATATATATGTAGGTCTTTGGTTGTTCGGGTTTTCTCCCACGTAAAATTGGAAGTGTCTTGGCGACGTTTCGACGAAGTCCCATTCGTCTCTTCAGGCTGGTGCTTTCAGCTTCGTGCTTCGAGGAGCACGAAGCTGAAAACATCAGCCTGAAGATGACGAATGGGACTTCGTCGAAACGTCTCCAAGACACTTCCAATTTTACGCGGGAGAAAACCCGAACAACCAAAGACCTACATACAAACACCCGCGAAAACCTCAGAAAATATATATATATGCATATATACATACACACACAAACACTACATACACAAAATATATATTCTCTCTCTTTCTCTCTCCTTTGTTCTCTCTCTCTCTCTTCCCCCCCCCCTTTCTCTCTCTAGACACAAGCACACAGCACAAATACATGTGCCTTTGGAAAACAAGTCCTTAACCACTTCTGAGAATCCCAAAGGGTCCAGACCCCCCATATACCAGGGGCAGATCAGCTGTCTATCTGATGGAGCAAACCCCCAGCACAGCTTCTTCTTTTCTCTCTCTCTCCCTCTCTCTCTCTCTCCCTCCCTCCCTCCCTCCCTCTCTCTCTCTCTCTCTTTTCCAGTTCAGAGATATTTCCCATCACTGATCCTATCCAATCTGGTGAACGAATGCAAGGACAGAAGACAACGTCTTAATTCCCCGCAAGGCTTCAGGCTCAGGGTGATGATAATGGTATCCTGGCACCCTGACAGGGCAGCTGGATCAGCCTGCTGGAGATCTGCTAGGGAAAAATAGTTGAAATTCTTTGAAGAAGGAAACTTTGAAGAAATTGGAAGGCAATTTTTAATTCCTTTCCCTTCCCAGAGGCAGGAGCAGTCCCTCTTTGGCATCAAACTTAATTAAACCTCTCAGGAAGAGGAAAGGTCTCTGGCTGAGTTGAAATGCGCTTCCTTCCTTCCACCTGGGGATGTCTGCCAGGTGGACCAATTTCAAGCAACCTTGAAATGGAAACTATTTCGTGTCAAACCAGGAACACTCCAGAAGACCATTCACTCTCCGTGGAGGAGCACGCAGTGACTGGCCATTTCCTGAGTGTGTAATTTACACAATGCACCAATGCCGTGCTGAGCAAGGGAGCCATTTGAGCTCAACTAATAAAAATCAGTGGAAGAGGAGTTGTAAACACTGGGGTCAGCCAGGATGACTGCAAGCTTCATTCTCATCCAGGACCCTGTCACTGACAGTGGTCAAAACCAGATGTTTTGGCCACAAGATGATTTAAAGGAAAGGGTGAGATTACTTGCCAAGCAAAGGGTGCTTTGTCAGCCAGGCCCACATTCTTTGGCACAGCCAAGAGTCCAAAGGATCAGAGGATCAAACCAAGGTCACTCTGTGGACTTTTTCATTGTTAGAACCAAAGTATGGGATTCATTTTCCTAGCCTTTGATCCAGGCCAATTCACCGGTAGCTCCACTCCTTTCTTATGGTATGCTCAATCTCCTAGATCTGTGTTTCTCAACTTTGACAACTTGAAGATAGGTGGACTTCAACTCCCGGAATTCTCCATCCACCAAAGTTGAAGTTGAAGGAGCTTGAAAACCATGAAGAATTCTCCAGCCAGCCAGAATTGAAGTCTACACATCTTCAAGTTGCCAAGATTAAGAAACATTGTCCTGCATCTTAACTGGAGACTGGCCAACACTTATATTCATCCTCATGTCCAGTTGCTGAATTGGTAATGATGGATGGAATAGCCTTATACATCATGGCATCTCATATTAAGTCTGAGACAGCATAGCACCTCCAAAGAGGAGAACCACTGCCATAAAGTTTGAAGAACTGAAAAGGTCTTCTCTTGCAAAATTGCTCTTGAGTCATAGTAATGACTTGTATTCTATTGTTTGACAGTCCTCTCTGTCAAGAAAGGACTTTGATTTATTGGAGCTAAATCTCCTGCCACTGAACCTCATGAGTGTAGCCTTCAGAAGCATGCAGACATATCTGCCTGCCAACTTATTGGCATGGAAGGAATCACTCTCTCTGCAGCTTAAGATAACATCACTAACTAGCTTCAAGCTGGGATTTGGAGCGCCGCCTCCTATCTCATGATAAAGTAGAGCAGGCACTGACTCCTCTTGGCTCTCAGTTCTGCAGGAATGTCTGTTGTAGAGAAGCTGGAGATTCCAAGATGCTGTTACTTTCTGGGTCACTGAGTCCCAGCAGTGCTTCTGTTTTGCCAAATATGTAAGCACAATACAGGGTCAGACATCCACCTATCCAAACCAAGTTCCTATTTGCTGCATCATGTCAAATCAAATGTCCTGCGTCACAGACAGGGTTGTCTCTAGAATTACAGACATAGTTAGAAGGACCATCTCAAAATTCAGTCATCAGGAGAATGACCTCCCCAGCTTGGCTGAAATTCCGTTACTTCTTGCCGAGACAGTTCAAGATTGTCCAGAAGTTCAGGAGATTTGATTGTACCAAACCAGACTATTGACCCATCAACCTCAACTCAGGCTACTTCAATCTGTTAGCAGTCCTTAGTTGCATAGGACTGTCAGTTTTATTCCCTTAGATGACATTCTATTACAGTGTAGGACAATTGAGATAGCTTAATGTACACAAATCTGAGTATCAGACAAGGCCAGTATTGGTGAATGGAATCACTAGGTCTTCTGCCAAAATCCCTGTTTTGTTTTGATGAGGGCCATTGCTGGTAATTCTGCCCTCTTCCAGATTTTTTTTTTTTATTATTTTCTTCTGCAAGGAAGAACATTCAGAAATGAAGAGAAGGTCCTCACTTTCCTCCATGTGGATGAGGCCCAGAAAAAGAGGCCAAATCAACAGCAACCATAGCCAAAGTCAAGGTGGGGATGTCATGTTCAAAAGTACTGGGAAACCTACCACCAGAAACACATCTTGATTTTACACAGATCATTTGCAGGTTTAAAGCATCTCTTTTTAAAAAACAAAACAACTCAACAAAAGTTTGCTTAATTTGGAGTTCGGAAAGATGGGCCTTAAGTTCCTTCTGAAGGAACATGCTGTCATCTAGTGCAGCTGCATAAACTTTGTATTTGTTTTAAAGCAGGAGAGCACTTTCAACCTCCTTACAAAGCCATCCGGCACATGCTACAGATGCTCCTTTAACATCTGGGATTGATCAGCAATCCATGAATCCACAGGAGAAAAAAAAAAAAAGTCTTCCAAGGCAGACATGGCACTCAAGTGGAAAGCTAATCAAGAAGGTCAGGACAAAGGGGAAATCCTTGCTGTGACCAATCCCTGCGGAAGCTCTATTCCGTTTGCAAATCAAAGGAAATCTTGCTTGAAAATGTCATGGTTTGAGCTTCTCTACTTCTCCAACTCCTCCCCATGGCAGCAAGTAGGTAACAAGCCTCAAACAACATTTGGGGCTTGGATGGGAGGAATAAAAATATTTCAGAGAGATTTATTAAGCAGATGTGACCATTATTCTTGGTTAGGACAGGCGGAGGAGACAGAACATGCTAAGAAACATAAGATGGGCTCCTTGTTTATGACTCACCAGCAGAGAAAGGGAAAGTGCTCAAGGATATGGCCTGAAGTTGGCCTTCCAAAGGATTCCCACTGAGTTGGCAAAGCTAAAAGGAGATTTTTTTTTGTTTTTGAAGATCTGCCCTTGGCGAGTGTAGAGGGCAGTGAGTTTGGATGGGCAAGATCTTGGTTTCATTTATAAGACTTTCTTCTGACCCTAATCTCATCTAAGCAGATCAATCCATTGGCATTAAAGCAATGTACATGTTGGGTCTACGTTGTCCTGTAGACTTAAAATTGTGTATGTGTGTGAGACAGAGAGGAAGAGAGAGAAAGAGAGGGAGGAAGGGAGGGAGAGAGAGAGAGAGAGAGAGAGAGAGAGAGAGAGAGAGAGAAGAGAGAGTGGTTTTGGGAATTTTAAACTTCTATGTAAAGAGATTGTTAGTCTCTACAGGCTGATAAACAAGAAACATTAACACTGGCTTGTCTTCAGTGGCTATACAAAATTGACTCCTTTCCAACATTGGACTAAATTGTTGGGTAAAGTGCTCTCCAGTTTTGAAATTGGTACCTAAAGCAAACAACGTAGATCCAAAATATACATTTCTGATTGAACTGCTTGGATGATCAGGGAGAGAAGAAAATCTTACAAAGGAAATCAGGTTCTTACCCATCCAAACTCACAGAAAAATCTACTTGGGGTTGTAGCTTCAGTTTTCCATTAAAATATTGAAATTGTTGGGCAAACTCCTTCAACTTTTCCTTCACTTTAGATCCTCTCCAGCCATAAAATACTTACAAAGGAAAACATTTGCAGCCTGCTGACTAGCACGGATGATCTTACCTAGTTTGGATAATGACATGTCTGCAAGAAAACATTCAAGCTCAGAGAGCATCAAGTACTTCAACCATATTTAATGTAAATTGCAATTACTGAGCATCTTTGAATCCCATTGAATGGAACAGGCTTTCTATAATAAGTAACTTAGTCTAGGATTAGGGCAATGTAATGAAGAGACAAAGCAAGCAGTATTTTCCCCTCGTTAAAGGAGATTAAAATGATCATGAAAACTGGCAATTCTATATTATGCTCTACACCCAACTGAGCAAAAATGGGTCCATTCAAAGCAGGCAAAGATCTAATACTCGTTCTTATAACTTGAGACTTGTGAACTGGCTTCGACTGCCTCAAGATAGGTCCACAAAAGATGCTTCACCCGTTGGCTGAATTAACCCATTTTTCAAGGTGTGCCCTGCTAATCAAAAAGTAAGCAAACACATCAGCTTTGCACCCGCCCAGCCAAATGAAAGAAACTTTAAGCAAAGCTGAAACTGACTGAAAGTGGTGTGGATGCAGACCCCGGCTTTGTACTTGACCTCATTAAGCAAGCTGCACTTCAGTGAGAGAGTTGCTCCATGGATCGGGAAGTTGTGCATCTTCCTTTAAAGCAAGCACCTTCCTGAATCTTTGGTATGGTTCTAAAATGTGGAATTCAGTAAGGTGGTTTCTATCCCCAAACCTAGCCTTGTCTGCTTTCTCTCCTGGAAGAAAGAAGAGAAGAGAAGAGAAGAGAAGAGAAGAGAAGAGAAGAGAAGAGAAGGAAAAGGTTAGGAGAGGAGAGGATAGATATGAGAAGGGAGGGAAGGAAAAGAAGTAAGGAAGGAAGGAAGATGAGATGGGAGTGAAGGAAGAAAAAGGAAAGAAAAGGAAAAGGGAGAAAAAGAAAGAAAATGAGAAAGAAAGAAAGAGAGAGAGAAAGAAGGAAAGAATATGAGAAGAAAGGATAGGTTAGGAGAGGAGTGGATAGGAGAGAATGGGATAGGATAGGATAAATATGCGATGGGAGTGAAGGAAGAAAAAGTAAAAGGGAGAGAAAGAAAGAAAGAAAGAAAGAAAGAAAGAAAGAAAGAAAGAAAGAAAGAAAGAAAGAAAGAAAGAAAGAAAGAAAGAAAGAAAAGCATCTAAAAGCATCTTTCCCCCAAGTTTCATCTTTTGAATGTTTATAGGTAGGAAAATGCAAATCTTGCTCAAGGTAAGTAGCTCCGCTCAACTACATCCGGCCAGAGGAAAGAAATGGGGAGGGGAGGGGGGGGGCTCACCTCTCTGCAAGGAAAGGAAAAACGCGGCTTAATCGGATCCTCGGAAATCCGCTCGGAAGGGCGAAAGAAATGCCCGTCCGCCTCTCTGGTCAGCCGGGGCGGAGAGGGGGGGCGATGGGCGCAAAACCTTCCCGGTCGAAGACTGCAGGAGATCGCCGACTCCTCCGCCTTTATGTAGCCCTCTTTCTGCTTCTCCCCACCCCCTTTTTCATCAGCGATCCCTCGAGGCAAGGCGAGGGGTCGAGGATGCTGAGAGGGCCTCGGGAGGAGTTTCTTTAACCCTTCCCCTCCCTGCCTCTTCCCAAAGTCTGCCAGGAAAAAGGGGAGGGAGAGGGAGGGAGGGAGGGAGGGAGGGAGAGAAAGAGAGGGAGGGAGAAAGAGGGAGGGAGGGAGGGAGGGAGGGAAGGAGAAAGAGAGGGAGGGGCAAGAGGAGGGAGAGGAGGGAGGAGAGAGGGAAGAGGAGGGAAGAGAGAGAGGAGTGAGGAGGAGGAGGGAGAGGGAGGGAGGAAGAGAAAGAGGGAGGGGAGGAGGGAGGAAAAAGGGAGGGAAAGATGGAGGGGAGGGAGGAAAGGAGGGAGGGGAGGGAAAGAGGGAGGGACGAGAGAGGAGGGGGAGAGGGGGGAGAGAAGAGGGAGGGAGGGAAAGAGGGAGGGAGAGAGAGAGGAGGGGGAGAGGGAGGGAGAGAGAGGGAGGGAGGGAAAGAGGGAGGGAGAGAGGGAAAGAGGGAGGGAGAGAAAGAGGGAGGGAGGGAAAAAGGGAGGGAGAGAGAGAGAGGGAGGGAAAGAGGGAGGGAGAGAGAAGGAGGGAGAGAGAGAGGAGGGGAGAGGGAGGGAGAGGGAGAGAGGGGGGAAAGAGGGAGGGAGAGAGAGAGGGAGAGAGAGGGAAGAGACGGATCCAAGACGAATCCAATCTTTGTTTCTTAATTTATTTACTTCTGCCACCATCAGCCTTTCTTTTCACTTTCTCCCCCAAAGTTCCAAGTCAAGACAGCTAATGTCTTGTAATTGACAAGCCTGGCAGGGGATTGACAGGAGTGCTCTTGGGCAAACAGGAAAAAAGAAAACGAACCGAAATGGGGTGGGGAGGGTGGAATATGGAGAGGAGATTTTCTGGAGACTGGGGTTGTCCTGCATTCAAGGGATTTTTTTTCAGTGGCTTCCATTTTTGGTACAGATGTAGACCATTCCAGAAAGTCAACCCTTTGAGGTAGACCAGACTTGAATGCTGAAATTATGAATACTAAAACTGTTTTTATGTGCCTTCTCCTTCCTTGCCAAAACTTTAGGTTGGAAAAAAACTAGGGAGATTAACATATGAGATGCTTTCTCACATTACATTGCTGCTTTGGACTCCAATTGCTCTTATCCAGCCTAGCCTAGCCTCTTCCTCTTGTTCTCTCAATTGCCTGTAGTCAGTGCCAGTTATACAGGATTGAATTGGTCAACAGTTGGACCTCTTTGTACGCTTCTTGGCATCTGAAGGACCTGGGTTCAGTTCTTAGCATCTCAAAATGAGCTTGGAAAACTTCCTTCAAACTGCATCTGCTCTTCAAAGTAGGGCTAATTGCCAGTGTGTGGATGGATTATAAGGGTAGAAGAAAAAAGAAAGACATCTGAAGGATGAGGAGCAGAAGACTGTGTTGTATGGACTGGCCAATATTCCATTTAGTCCAGCATCTTCTCACTAAGGAGATTTAGGAGACACACACAAGCAGAGCCTTGAAGTCAATATTCTAGGCCAAATGACAATTTTCTATGCCAAATGTTTGACATTTTGGACACAGTTAACTTTGAAGGTTCCATAATAAATCTCTCGTGTTTCTAGTAGCCAGAGATATAACCATTTTGGAAGGACCCCAAGCCAGATCCATTGAGTTTAACTACCATGGTGCTTCATAAACTCTAAGTTGGTAGATTGCTTTACCCAAACAGGCTAGGTTGGAGGATGTTTATTCCTAAAAGGCACTTCTGATGATCTTTATTTTACCTGATATTTTAAAATGAAAATGAGGGAAAAAAAAGTTTGAGATTAAAACTGAAGTTGCACGATATTGGAAAGGAAGTCTGATCCTGTGTTCCTTTATTCAAATGTTGGTATGGAATAATCAATTAAGCCGGAGATTCTCAAGTGAAACTCAGCTCAAGAATATTTGTAATATCAGGTTATCCACAGACAGTTACCAAGATGTACTTTTTGAATAACACTGCTTGTTCCATGACAAAGAATGCAGAATCACAAAGCTCCATGCACAAAAACCAACACTGTGGTTAGGTGATAACAGTGTGGTGACTTGCTCAACAGTATTAGCCAATTCTGAATTATTATTTTTTTAGTTGGCATCATTCTTGGCATCATTGCATGATTCTTGGGGCAAAGTTTTTAAAACAAATCCTTCAGCCCCCCCCCCCATCCCACCCCCACCCCCAAAATTTGTTTCAACAAATCAGGATGAAATGAGAGCTGCCCTTCGTGTACTTTTCAAAAAAAAATCTCTTGTACTAAGACCATCTCCTGTTATAGGACATGTGGCCATGGTATATTTGAAAGGACTACGTTTCCTTTAATTAGCAAGCAAGCAAGACAGAGAAAACTTCCCCAGCTTTCACTTCAAGCAGGATGTTTCATTTGTACCTACGTAAGTCGGATCCTCTTTCACAATTTCCTTCCAGCCTAACACATCATAAAAGAATCCCCTTCAAATAAAAGTTCTTTTTTGCAGCTTGTTTCAGGGATGCTTATTAAAAACAAAGATAGCAAATAAACGTGCCGAGGTAATTGAGAACATTCTTCGCTATTAGCAGATATTGCAAAACAAAACATTGGACTGTTTCCTAATGTGCACATTTCTCCGGAGAATTTTAAAAAATGGAAACGTAAAAACTTTAGGACAATGATTAACCTGGGTTTTGCTAGTATCTGTCTTTTAAGAAATAGTTTTAGCACAACAAACAGAAAAAAATGCTCCAAGTTTGCTTTGATGGGATCTGAGCTAAGGTGAAGAAGGAGCTATGATGGACACAGCATAAAAGCTTCTGGCTAAGATTCATTTAGAACAGGGGTGTCAAACTCAATTTCACTGAGGGCCGCATCAGCATTGCGGTTGCCCTGGGGGGGGGCGAGTGTGTGGCCAGGGTGGGTGCGGCCTACTGGGTGGGCATGGATGGAGTGGGTGCAGCCTACTGGGTGGGCGTGGCCAGATCTACATCATTCGCGTCAAGGGTGCCTGTGGGGGCCTGGGCAGGAGTAGGGCAGATCTGAGGGTCTCTGGCAGAAGGGGGGTGGGACCAGGGCAGAGCCCATCAAGCTGGATATGTGAAGTAGGCGAGGGCCATTAGCTGGCCACTTCCAGGCGATGGTGCATTTCTTCATTCCTCACAAAGGGTGACACCTCCCCAGCATGCACCCAGGTGGCGGGGCCGACGCGGCAGGGGCTGGTTCCTCGCTGTTTCCAGACGGCCTTGTGGAGCTAAGACTGAATGCATTTCAGCATAGATGGTCACCACAAAATTGTACATTGGCTCCCGGCCGGCCTGGGCCAGGGCCAAGGCAATGGGGGCCGTTCCCTCACTGTTTCCAGGATGGCTTCGCGGGCCACATGAAACCACTTTGCGGGCCGCATCTGGTCCCCAGGCCTTGTGTTTGACATGTCTGATTTAGAAAGAATCTAAAAACAAACGTGTGATTTAATATTTATTTGCTACGTATATGTAGGGATGTGGGTCTATACATATGTTGTTCATAGTTATGTTTAGGTGTGCGTCATGTATGTTTCACTTTGAGAGCGGGCAACTAAATTTCATTTTTGATATGTGCCATTGTGCCCACAGTAAAAAAATGACAATAAAGGTTATCTTATCTTATTCCTTTCTACAAATTGAAACTATGGTGGCAGCTTAATATAGTTCTCATCTTACCAGGATGTCCACACTAAGACGAATAAATACCCTGATGTTTGTTTTAGGACAATAAAACCAGTTTAAAACCATGTTGTGGGATTGTCTGCCACTGTGGTTAAAGTGAATTGCAACTGGAGATATGCAACCCTTTGGTCTTCTGGCATATCCTTGGGGTTTTTTGTTTTTGTTTTTATCTTCCTCCTCCTCCTCTTCCCCCCCCCCCTTGGAACACAGCATCCAGATATGGTTGGCAAGTTTTTTTTTCTGGAAGTAAATCTTTCCAAAGTGGCTGTCTTATCTCTTATTTCCCATCCAAGACTTTCTAGCCAATGCCCATAAGTTCCAAGGGGAATGGGGACATTTATCTTGTCAAACACGGCTGGATTTAAAGCACACTAAGCCATGCTTGGCATTGGATTTACGGCTTACCACACAGGATTCCAAATTTTGGTAGTTGGTGAATGTGACATGTGGCTTTTTCTGGCACAAGGGCTCCAGCGTTGCCACATCAGTTTGGGAACCTAGTTTTAAGAGACTGAACAGCCAGTGGCAGGAGTCCAATCATGATGATGATTTCACATGAATCTACCTTCATCTGGCAAGATCATCAGATCATCTCAAACCGTCTGGCACCAGTTCTTTGGCAGATCCTCCATCCTGATGCCTTTTAGAATGGATTCCTACAACAGGGCACCTTATCTCACTGGGCTCTGGGTTAAAACTGGGAATTTCTCTATGGACAATTCTTAATAGGCAGTTCAGAATACACCCTCGGGATACGGAAAATTTGGAAGAGATGCTAGGTTTTGACAACGATTGTACGAAGTTAATTGCCAGAACATGGTGCCTTTCTAAGCCGCCCCCCAACCAAAAGAGACGGGTCTCTTTAGTTACTCCAAATCTACACCCCACTCAAACGCTTTTAATAGCAATAAGAGGCTTTCTCTACAGGATTTATGAGTGTATGGAAGTCTCTTCTGATGTTCCCAGTACAGCTCATGTGGTGTACTGGGGTGGGGAGATGCCATCTTGATAAGCCAAGCGAAGCGTCCTCCATGGCAACAGAAGACGACTGGTGCTCACACTCCTGCCAACGCATAGTACATAACACAACATACAAGACTTAGTAACTGTGTCATTGCTCCAAAGCCTTTTTCTGGATACAGGTTCAAGATGGAAGGACTTCCTCTTCTCCTAAGTTGATCAGTAGTTAAGACTGGTTATGGAAGATCTCCTTGGCTATCCACCAACGCCAATG